CTCTCTATCGCTCTCTCTCGCTCTCTCTATCGCTCTTAACAATTTCCATCACTGTTTCATTTTATCTCTTTCTGAATTCTTTTAAAATCCATTGTGAACGTAAATACATCGGTCCCTTATGAAGAGTGGAGGGCATTAAAATACGAACAAACTAGCTTAGCGTGGCGCCCAGTATTTTTATTAAAAGTATTTTTGTGATTTGCAAGTTTATAAAAAAATAAATTTGAAATAAATTACTGTTGCCCGACTCGTCTATTTTTGAACAAAGCAAGTTATATGAACATATTTCTATTAAAATAAATTTTTGTTTGATTACAAAATTAGGTTTAATTATCTTCAGGTTGAAGATACAAGGCGTAGGAATTCATTTCAATGCCAGAAAGAGAATGTAGTAAGTATTTCATGGCGTTTAACAAATGTACTCGTAAGTGTACAGAAACTATTATAACACGTGTGTTTCTGGAATTCTCCAAAATGTTTTGCAGGCAACGGTACAAGGATTGTGCCAATCTATTTGTCGAATCGCGAGAAATCTAATTGATCACCTCTGCACGTACCGCAAGTCACCTCAGGCATTTTTGCTTAGCTTGCAGCTCGCTTGCTTTGCAGGAGCTTAAAAGGCACGTTTTAGAAAAGACTCTAAATATTCCGAATGAATGTGTTCCCCCAGAAGACTTAGAAACGTCAAAAACACCTAATTGGTCTTCATTGTAGACCAGGATTGTAGCTGTGATGGACAGATGAACGCAGATTACTCGATTGAAAAATGGAACACAATCTTATTGAACAGCAAATTCTAGTTTTTGAAATGCGTGTTATTCATTTACTTCATATTTCATGATGTCAATTCTGTAATCATTTGCATTCGCAATTGGGCCCTTTCCTTCCCACCCATCCCACCAACTCGTTGTTCCTCCTTCCGATCAATCCCCCTCTCATTATTTATCCCTACCTCTTCTCCCTCCAACCTACTCGTTGCCGTCTCTCTCTCCTTTCTCCCCTATATCCTCTACTCTCCCCTGTACTCCTCCCTTCCCTCTATCCCTCCATCCACCCTTTTCACCCTCATGCCTCCACTTTACTACCACACTCCTACCTTCCATCTACATCTCCTCTCTCCAATCTACTCGTCTTTCTGCCCATCCACGCAATCACATTCCTTCTAGACCTTCCTTCAGACGTGTACGCGATCGCACTCCTTCCACACTCACGAACACACATTGATCATCCTGCGGGAAGGTTAGAGCGTGTCTCGGCAGGGAAGGTACCGCGATGCCCTGCCGGTCTCTAGAAGAGAAATTCCCCGCAAATCCAGGTCCGGTCGGCGCCGGATATCGCGTTCCAGAGGGGAAGAAACACCGTGATACACGCACACGCACTACACTTACGCGAATACAAAATAAAGCAGTTCACACCTGGCAAAAACAAAATAGTAATTTAATTATACTTAAATCTAGGACCCCCAATGTATATTACGTTAAGACATTGCCGGTCCCGGTGATATTTTGTACCTCTGGCAGCATGTGGGCGCAGGAGACGGCGTCGTGGCGCGAGAGCGCGCAATTGAGCTGCAGTTGGCCGCCCTGCGAGAGGCGCCACTCGGCGATGTTGAAGGACCAGTGGTTCTCGCCGTCGCACAGCGAGAGGGCGATGGTGGGTTTGGAGGCGGACTCCTCGGCAGCGGACGCCCCTTCCGCGATCGCCCCCGCCGGCCGCGACTGCACCGAGATCGCCACGACGTTGGGCGGAGGCTCCTGCTGCTTCGCCTCGGCCCTCGCCTTCGTCTCCACTTCCTCCTCCGCCTTCACCTCCAACTCCCCTTGCGCCTCCGCCTCCGCTTGCCCCGACTCCGCCTGCACTTGCGCCCTCGCCCGCGCCTCGGCCTCCGACTTGCTGCGCTGCATCTTGGTCAGCTCCAACTGGCCAATAAAGCACACGCCATTACAAATACCACGGTTTGTTTGAGTTGGAGTGAATAAGAAAATACTTTTCTGTGCACATTAAAGTTATTTGTTTGTGATCCAGTATTATAAACGACATTTTCGTTTCAGGAAACATAAAATTCGTAAAAATGACATTTATAGGCACAAATTATGATGTATTTGCCGTTTATGACCCGGCTAATTGCGTCATCACACATTCAGCCAATCGCAGAGAGAGAGAATCGGGGAGAGGTAGCGGTAAATCGAAAAACCTACCACCCATTCTTTCGCACAAATGCCAAATACCCCTGACGTGACTTAGCTTACGTTCACAAATACCCCTTGATGACTCAACGAAGTTCTTTCCAAAAATTAACTTTGATTTTCATATATAAGTACAAAGCTGATATACAAAAAATAACGTTTACAACTTGTTTATCATGTTGCTTTATTGCATTCATACAAATTCTACAACTAGCGACGATAGGCGCTCGTTTTTAAAACGTGTACTCGTGCAATAAAGCATAACGTTATAAACCAGTTGCATAATATTTTATTCAATAACTGCTGCATTGAAAATTCACAAAGACCGTTAAGTAAAACGGACGACTATAACTTTCTGATGTATTAAAATATCGATGAAATGAATGCTTCCAATGTCAATTTACATTCAGATACGTGTATATTAAATTAATACGATTACATTAGTGTGACAATTGTTCTTTACTATGTTGCGGCTGATGATTCTGAAAAACCTTCACGTGATTATCACTAATAATGTCGAGAAGCCGCAATTCACTTTCTCGAGCAAGCAGCATTGTCTCTTGTGGACAAAACTTGACTTAAGATGCATGTATTATTTAGAATTATCTTTTGCAAAATGATATCCTTGGCTAGTCTTGAATTTTAAGATTGAGTTTAAGTTTCTGGTTGAAGGTGAGTTATCAATTTGCTGTTTATATCCCCATTCTGAATCCATCGAATGAAATGACAGCAAGCCTGTGGCATATAACGTCTTACGTTAACTTTATGGTTATTTTGCTATGATGTTAGGTTAGGAAACGGTTTTGATTACGACACGGTGTGTTAGTTACAATATGATAGATTAGGATTACGATGCAGATGGTTTGGGTTACAATACGATTGGTTAGGGTTACTGTACGGTTGGTTAGGGTTACTGTACGGTTGGTTAAGATTATGATACTGTTGATTAGGGTTCCAATTTGGCTTACGACACGATGTGTTAGGGTTTCTGTACGGAGGTTAGAGTTGCGCTGCGTTTCGCGGTTACTTTAGGTTACCTTACGATTACGTTACAGTTAGGTTTTGGTTGTTTTTTGGTTATATTTCATACGTTTGCGTAACTATTGCTTTGTGATCGCGTTACGGTTACTTTACGATTGCATAGCTGCTGTTTGATACACGAATTACGACCACACCTGCGCCTTCTCCTTGGCGAAGGCCTCGGCGCGGGCCCTGGCCACGCACTCTGCGCGGCGCCGGGCCTCCTCGACGGCGCGCAGCTCGGGCTCGGCCAGCGTGCGGTTGGCG